GCAAGACAGGTGAGCTTCAAGAAGCGAGGGAGGGAGGGAGGGAGGAAGGAGGAGGAGGAGTTGAGAAGTCTGCCGAGACCAGGATGAGTTGACAAGTTTCTTTAACGGATGAAAGCCGGCCCTTTGAGGCGGGAAATAAACACGGGGGGTGGACCAACACACGCACACACTGGTGATTTTGTCTACTGGATTGTCTATTCCTTCACAGAAAGAAAATTGTTGTCCATGGACCCTTTATTGCACAAATTTTACAACTCCTCCTCCGTCCTTAATGGGTTGCCGTGGCTGAAATATGATACAATCGGAAAAGGTTGAAGAAGCAGGGGAAATTTGGGTTTCTCAGACAAAACCTCAAAGGGGGTCTTCCGAAGTCCCCTGTGCTTTATCATGCCATCTAAGAGTCCTAAGGCTCTTTGTTTTTCCGCCCAAGAAGAACTGAAGTCTGTTCCTGGTTTAATAAGTATCCAAAACGCAAATATCTACAAGCACAAATACTTGAGATGGCATTCTCCACAGCTGATCCCTCTAAGCCTTTTCCATTCTAGAGGCACGTCCTCCTTTTCGATTAAGTCCTCTTTCAATATCAGGAGGATGTGAAATTTGGAATTCGTCTGGTAATCCTCGAAGGGGGAAGTTTTGTACGGCTTGTGCTTTCGGCGCGAGCAGGTGCCTGTGAATTCCATCACCCAATAAGCTTATTACCCGCTGACGTGATCCTCTTTAAATTCACAACATTTCAAAGAGAAAGCAGCACTTTGCACTTCCTCTTGGCGCGAATGTGATTGGAAACCGTCGGGATCACGAGTGGCAGAAGTAATCTGTGCACAGCCTCACGCTCTGGTGTGTGTGTGCTGCGTCTGGTGTCCAGGTCTGATATGGAGATATGGCAACAAGGCTTCCTGTCCTTGCAACATAGTCTCCTCCCTCCAAACCGTCTCTCAAAACACATCCACATGACAGACCAATAGCAGAATCTTGGAGATTAGTATAAATAAATGACACGGCAAGTATAAAAATAACATGTGTTGGCAGTTTAAATGCTGTTTATTCTCTCGTTTTGGATGAAATGCCTCATTGATCTGCTCTCCTGCCTGCCTTTCACTTTTGTTTGCAGAAGATAAAGAGGAAAGTGTGACTAAGTACACACACACACACACACACACACACACACATACAAACAGAGAGTGAGGCGTGGTCAGTGCAGATGCTAAGAGCAATGCCGTTGCAGAGCTGTTTTTTAAGTGGGCAAAACGCCACTTGGCATGGTGTCGAGAAAAAAAAAATCCAGTTGTAAAATAAGAAGGATCAAACGGCTTGTGCTTATGGTCTTTCTCTTAAAAACAACAGGCTTGAGTAAATCGCAAATAGTCCGAATGGAGTCCGTGTTGTAAATGTTGCAGGTATAAACGCATCCTCCTTGTTGGGGTGTGAAGGAGAATTGGATTAAGCGTGACTGTACAGTAGGTGTGTTCTGTAGGGAGCTGAAAGTGCCATACAAAGTAAAAACAAAAGGATAATGATCCTACGCGCATATGATTCTGGCGTAAACTGAAGCTGCGCTCTCTCATTTGTAAGCTGATGAATGCACCTGTTACATCATCCCGCTCAGGTGCTGTTTTCCCACAGAGTGCATTTCGCTCTCTCTGGTTTCTCCTTTCTCTCTTGCTGGGTCCTAAATTCTGCCGTATATATGCTTCTGACCATTAAATATGATTTTTTAAAAATTATTTTAAAAGTGTATCTTAAAAAAACATTTCCTGATCGTTCTCTCTCTCCCTCTCTCTCTCTCTCTCTCTCTCTACATATATATATATATATATATATATATATATATATATATGGGATGTTCTACCAGAAACATACATTTTCACTCATAAAAAACATGACATTACCTGACTTAAGCTTGTCAAACTCAAAAAAATCATACAAGCATAAAGTCATACAATTCAATGATATAACTCATCCTTGATCACTGTCAGATTCTCCTCATCAAATGTTTTCATTTCCGAGTCATAGCATTAAAGGAGTATTGCACACATTTTGTGTTAAATGTAATAATAATGTGACAGGACTGACAGAAACATGGACACAATTGTACATTTATTTGTATTATATATTTTTGGTATTAATTTGTAGAATTTATTCATAATTTCATGTTTTTAATCAATTGATGTGAATGACAACAACTTAAATTTTCTATTCCTGAAGTTTTTCCCAATAAATAACAGTTTTAGCATTACAAAACTACTATATAAGTAGGTCAAATTGGGCTGAGGGCAAGGACAATGACAGGTTTTGTACATTTGTTTGTACACAAGTTTGAGAGACTATTGAATGATGATCCTTTACAGAACGACTTACAGAAATCAACCATCAGTCCATTTTAGAAATCTTTGGGATAAAATACTTTTTATTATGTTTTTATTTCAGGCACAGATTATGTACATTTCTGGTAGAATGTCCCATGAGTATACAATATGTAATATGTTATAAAATATTACCATTAACCAGCTCAAATACAAAACATTATTAGCTACCATGCAATTTTTTCCCAAAAATTTTATAATTATATAAAAACTACAACAAAAAATTGACAACAAAATAAAAAAAAAATTCATATATACAAATTTTATAACATTAATAAAGTTATAATGCAGAATATTAATAGTTCACATATGTATGTGCTTATATTTATTTAAATTATTTATTTTATTAGATTATGCCTTTATCTGTGTATATACAGTGCTCAGCATATGTAAAGAACACCCCATTTTGAAAATTAATATTTGTATCCATTTCTTAGTGAATATGAGTAATATATTTTGGTGCATTTAAACAAAACAGATTTATCAATATATATATATATATATATATATATATATATATATATATATATATATATATATATATATATATATATATATATATATATATATATATATATATATATTCAAATTATATTTTAGTTACAGAAAGTTTTGTTTCTTTTGATTTTTGCTATTTTTGAAAAAAATTATTTTATATTTTTCTATAACATAAATTTAAATTAAAATTATTTATAAAGTAGTTTTATAAATAATATTTAGTATTATAAAGTAATTTTGTTAGATTAGCTCCAAATTCGGCTTTAGTACTGACTAAACTAATGTATATGCACAATTAAAATATTGTAAAGTATCCTATAGAAAATATTGATTTAAACGAGAGAATTGTGAGGAGTGTATTCATATATGCTGTATAGTATTACATATAGTTATAGTATTTTGTCAATACCAAAATGTATTTAAATTACTGGAATGTGTCCATGTTTTTTACTTTTAAAACCATGTTTATAGGTTTTAATTATAATTATTTAATTATAATATAACCATGCATAAAAAATAGTTTCTATTTTTAAATGCAGACTTAGCACAGAGCCTTAAGAAAAACACCCCTTTAGTAACACTGTTTGGACCAAACCTCTCAAAGACGCTGGAATTACTTGTAGCGTGCAACAGTCATTGCTAGTTAAACACAGTGTTACACAATTAGTGCATTACTGGAGCACATCAGCGATTGACGGGGGCACAGGAAATCCTGCTGTTAGTGACAGTGAGCCTGCATTTACCCAGAGGAGAGAGAAAGAAACACAAGGGAGGGGATGAACACAGTATCATCCCCATCTCTACTCCTCCTTCCTTCCTGAACATGCAACAACACACAAATGCAAGCTTCTAAACCCCTACACCCAACAAAAAAAAAAATAAAAAACTGTTGAAAGCATCAATGCACAGAGATCCAGCATAAAGTGGGTTAGAATCATGTAAAACGGCTTTGAGGCAGAGAATTATGGGTATTTCTAATGGCACTTTTGCTTCAATGGAGCCTTGAGACAAAGACCAGTTCTCAGCATTTTCTGAATAACTGCATGCTAGGCCTGTGGAGCTGCGATTCAAATTTCGCAAGGAATGCAAAGGTGAAATGAGTTATTTAAATAGGACCTTCAACAGAGGTTGTTTTCATTCATTTCATCATTTGTCAAGCACAAATTTGGTGGTTCAAAGCTCAAAGCAATAAACTAAAACAAACAAAACCAAACTCACCCAACACCAGCCTTAACCCCAAAAAACCCAAGCCAAACTTAAACTAAAACTGAATGAGTAAATATAACATTTGCATTATGGGATAAAAATAAAAATACATAAATAAAAAAAATAAATAAAATAAATCATTTGAGTTAGAGAATAAATAAATAAATAAATAAAACATTTCAGCAAGGAATAAATAAAAAAATAAAATAAAATAAAACAAAACATTTGAGCTAGGGAATAAATAAATAAATAAATAAATAAAATAAAACATTTGAGTTAGGGAATAAATAAATAAATAAATAAATAAATAAAAAAAATATTTGAGCTAGGGAATAAATAAATAAATAAATAAATAAAATAAAACATTTAAGTTAGGGAATTAATACATAAATAAAATAAAACAAAAACATTTGAATTAGGGAACAAATAAATAAATAAAATAAAACAAAATAAAACATTTGAGCTAGGGAATAAATAAATGAAATAAATAAATAAATAAATAAATAAATAAAATAAAACAACAATTGAGCTGGGGCATGAATAAATAATAAATTAAATAAAAAAAATAAAACAAAACATTTGAGCTAGAAAATAAATAAATAAATAAATAAATAAATAAAATAAAACAACAATTGAGCTAAGGAATGAATAAATAAATACATTAAATAAAAAATAAAGGAAATAAATTGAGCTAGGGAATAAATAAATAAATGAATAAATGAACAAAACATTTGGCTAGGGAATAAATAAATAAATAAATAAATTACATAAAAAATAAAACAAAAGATCTGAGCTAGGGTATAAATGAATAAATAAATAAATAAAATAAAACATTTAATAAAATAAATAAATAAATAAATAAATAAATAAATAAATAAATAAATAAATAAAATAAACACTTTCCGATATTTTGCTTTGATGATTGTTTACCTTGATATTGCAGGCTTGCTCCATAAGGCGTCGAGCGTTTTCTGCTGCCCTGTAGCGTTTCGGGAGTTGGACCCGGAAAAATTTCAGCGCACCCTCGAAATCAGCCTGCAGCAGGTCTTCCTTGGAGGTCTGCATGTAGAAAGAAGAACACACTGGTTAACAGTTTTTATAAACAACCTGAACAGGAACTTTGCTAGGTGATGATTTTCCTCATTGTGCATGCATTGCTCTTTTGTGACCAAATAATGCCGTAAATCACATTACATTAAATCATAAATCGTATCAATCATAATACAGAGGCTATATGTAGGAAAAGGAAGTACTAATATTATATGGTAATAACAGCATTAAGCAAATATTAATCATTTAATGACTGAAAAACATCTATTCAGCCCATTAAAACAAAAACAAAAAACTCTGCATTTTAAATTAACTTTAAAGCATTATAAGCAAAAAATAAATAAATAAATAAACAGTCTATATACTGCAACTTAAGAAATTAAAGGTCATGAAGACAGTGCAAATAAAAATAATAGCTTGTATGCTGCAAATAAATACAAAGCATAAAAGCCTTATTAATAAATGTATATGACAAAAAAAGAGAAGAGAAAATAAGTCACTTTAATAGTAGTTTAATAACCAGGTATAATAAAAGAAATAGTCTGAATAAATTAAGTGAACCTAAGGCATAATCACATTCCTCAAGTAATTAATAAAATAAATATCTCAATAATGTTATTACATCAAAAACAAAATTGCCTGTAACAGGATGGCAATTAAAAACAATAGCTACATAAATACAGACGAATTCCGCACAACTAGCATGGCAAGCACCACATATCACATAGAAACAAAAGCTACTGTTAGAAACACAGCTACTGTTTTTGTAGTAGCTACCCCTCACCGCCAGCAGTCGGGGCACAAACAGGCGGTGACCCATTCCTAACAGCCCCATGACCCTGTCGGTTCGATCATTGATCGGTCCAGCCTTGTCCTCTCCAGCGCCCCCTTCCTCCAGTCTCCGCACAGCAGGAGGAATCTGAGCCCACAGAGGCGAAGGCAGGTCCCTCTCCGGGGTCAAAGGTGAAAGAGCCTCCTGGGCCCCTCCAGAGTCCCCTGCATCGTCCTCCCATGGAGGCTCTGGGGCTGATTTGGAGTCAGCCACGTTGACGACGTCCAAGCTCCGAAAAGTTTGCTTCGGTGGCGCTAACGCAGTCTCTGCGAATGCGACGTTGTCATTCGATCACAATTCGACAAGCGTGAGAATTTGTTGCCAAAAACCAAAGTGCGAATTTAGACGTACACTGATGCATTTTGGGTCTGCAATGTAAACACAACCGGAGACCACGCCTAGTTCAAAAAGACATCTAGTAAAATTTGACTAAATCTAGTAAAATTTAGTCAAAAAAACAAAACAAAACGCCCTGATTCTGGTCGATTATTGGCTGGCTCCTCCCAAATTTGCAATCTGTTGCCTGGCAACAAGGCAGGAGGAGAGTCGCGTGGTGCTGTCGAGACGGACGGCACGTCTTCCGTGTTTCGCTCGTCTAACAAGAAACAACGATAGGATGGAAGAAACGTGAAGCTTTCAGATTCTGCTCTCCATCAAAGATGCGACTTCTTGTCAAGAGTAAACAAACAGGCATCCTGTCAAGGTCTACAAGCATCCCAAACGCCAATCCAGAATGTGTGGGATGCAAGACTGGGGTGGTGTTTGTTGTCCTCGTCTGCAGGCCTCGGTTCGTACAGCTCTGGGTGCTGATGGAGCCAGTCTGAGCGGCGGCGATGGGGAGAGTCGACGAGAGCATGAGATTAAGACAGCGCGAGAGAGAGAGAGAGCGAGAGATGCTGCCGATGCTAGAAAAGGTGGCGGAGTGGAGGAAAGGGAGGAGGAGAGCAAGATAGGAGGGGCGTCGCAAGGGAACCAGAGACAGTGGACGAATGGACAGTGGACATGATGGTCCGGGCTCCAATGTAACTCATGCTAAATGCTAACTACTGCTTGCGAAGGGAAAAGGCGGACTGGCAGGAGGACATGTGGAGAAACAGAGCGCGAGGTGTTGGTGGGGGGGTGTATAGAGAGAGAAAGGAGAGAGAGAAATGAGGAAGAGGAGGAGGAGGGGGTATGAGAGCCTTCAGGGAGAATGTCGTAATGGTTAGCCAATAGGAGTAAGGCAGTGCAACCCCCTCTTGTTTCCCTCACTCATGCTCTCTCCATTAATGCACAGCTCCTGCTTCCTTGCACGCACATACGCATCAGTCAGTGCTCTGCTTCGGTACACCTGCCTTCTCTGTTCTTCAGCCTACATTTAAAAAGAGGATGACTAATATTTTCATATACTAAAGTACCTATTTGACAAGATTTTTTAGAATTTAACCGGTGAGAAAAATGGCAATAAAAATACACAAATGACCAAAGAAAAATACAAAACTATAATTATATTTTCATTCATTCATTTTCCGTCAGCTTAGTCCCTTTATTCATCAGGGGTCACCACAGTGGAATAAACCGCAACTTATCCAGCATATGTTTTTCATAGCAGATGCCCTTCCAGCTGCAACCAAGTACTGGGAAACATTTATACACATTCATTCACACACAAACTCACACTACGACCAAATTAGTTTGTTCAATTCACTTATAGTGCATATCTTTGGACTGTGGAAAAAACGGAGCACTCGGAGAAAACCCACGCCAACACGGGGATAACATGCAAACTCCACACAGAAATGCCAGCCGAGACTCAAATCAGTGCTAACCACTATGCCACCATGTTATTTTGTTAGATAAGCTTCAGACTAATCTAATGTACAGTATATGCACAAATATAATATTGTATAGCTTCCTTTTAAAAATATGAGTTTAAAGATATATTTGTGAGGGGTGTACTTGTATACAGTATGCTGAGCACTCTTTCCATCTTCATTGTTAATCACTTATCTTTATACAATGCTATTTATTTTTAAGAAATCATGAATAATGCTGTTTTCCTCCATGACTTGTCAGACATTTTCAACAAATAGCCGTGTCATCAAATGCAAACAAAACTTAACTTTACAATGGTTCAAAAAATGTAAATATGTAAAAACTTCTATCCAAAATGAAACAGGAGCTTCTGTCTAATTAAAGTTTTCAGTGGAATTGCCTATTTAAAATTAGCATACATATAAAATTAGAATAGCATACAGTGTCAAACCTGAGGACATGGTTTTCAGTAACTAAACAGCCATGTCACCCTGCAGCCCAGGACTGGTTACTCATTGAAGCTAAGCAGAGCTGAGCCTGGTCAGAACCTTGATGAAAGAGACCACATGGGAAAACTAGGTTGCTGCTGGAAGTGGTGTTAGGGAGACCAGCAGAGGGTGCTCAACCTGCGGCCTGTGGGAGTTGTAATATAGTGAACAGTAAGCAGTCATTCAAGCGGATGCTACACACTGGTGGTAGTGTGGATCGTGATTGTGAAGTTCTTTGGGTATATGGCCACTCATTTACGCACTATAAAAATACACATTACATTACATGACATAAATGTAAGTTCAAATGTTTTTAGAAATGTATGGATGCAAATATTTTAAAATTTTACAATTTTCTTTTTAAATTATAAGAGCTGTATAATGTATTGAACTATGCTTGATACAGTCACAAACATAGGACAGTTTTTGAGATTTGCCTCAAAAATTTATAAATATTAAATAATAGCAATTTTTATAACAAGAGGTCAGTGGAAGATAATGAAATGTTTAACTACATGCATTTCACATGCTAATTATGTTCTTTTTTGTCAAATGTGACAATAACAAAGCAGTGTCACATCAACAACCCAAACACATGCCTACTAGAAGACTTTTGGCTCTATCATACACCGGGCTCAATAAGGCGCAAGACATGTTAGGTGCGATGCGTTGCTATTTTCAGACCAGAGCTACAGTAATTTTCATGTTTTGCACCACGCTGTTTAAATAGAAAATTCATTTGCGCCACTTTGTGGACCCATAGGTGTGCTGGTCTAAAATAGAAGTGTGTTAAGGCACATTGCTATTTTGAAGAACTGAAATAGACAGCGCGATTGACCATTTAAAAGAAGGTCTAAGGTCCAGCGCAGAGTTATGCACTTATGTGGGTTCAAATGCTTACACATTGCTTAATAAACACAGGATGTACAGCAATACACAAATATCTTTGCATTTGAAAAGATTAAAATGTTACAAAAATAATTATTTTCTACATAAAACTAAAAACTACTGACTCCATCTCAGGCGGCTTACCTGGTTTATTCATGACAATTTGCAATTGATAATTATAATATTATTAGCAATATTTATTATATGCATATTTATATTTGTTTTAATAAAAACAAATTTAGATTTGTCCACCTGTCGGGTTTTGGAGACGTATGTGTCACTATATGGGGCATAGGACGGGTGTTCAGATGTAACTTCGGATGTGTTTTTGACCACACTTCGTTATTATTGTTCGTTTATTCGTTTGCTGGAAATTAGAATTTAATCTAGAAATAGTTTTGAAACAAATCTTTGCGCTTAACAAAAAAAGTTAAATATGTAGGCTAATGGATGACTTCAGTGGAGTGCGTACAACACCCAGGGCCGGAGTGGGACTCCTTTTCAGCCCTGGAGTTTCAAGCCTTACACCAGCCCACTTCAGTTCATGACTGGCTATATTAAAATAACGTCATTTCCAATTTAGTTTTTAATGACACTATCACATCTTTTTCAAGCAAACAGCTGTTTTAGAACTTCAAATGTTTTTCATAAATATGAGAACATTAAAGGGTAGCTAAATCTCCAACACCATTCTTTAAAATATCACAATGTCCTTTCCTGTAATATCTGAATAAATATTATGTGCAAAATTATTTATAGATATCCAGTCCTTTGTAATAGTGGTCACACAAAAAATAAAAATGAAATATGTACACCTACATAAGTAACTCAAACTGTATTATGTCTTAACGTTAAAAATGAAAAAAAAATTCAATATAAATACATAAATTACTCAGGATGGGGTGTAAACTCTGGTCCGCAGCGTCTTAACGCAGCATGAATAATAAATAAAATAATTAATAAAAAGAGTGAGGCTATGGTCAAATAAATAGATAAATAAAAAAAGTGTGATTGCTGAAAGCGCAAGCAGCTAGGGACACCGCCCCTCACGGCCAAAAAATGGACCGGCCCACCGGGAATTCTCCCGGTCCTCCCGATTAGCCTGACAACACAGTTTCCTTATCCACCAAAGTAAAAGAGTAAAGAGTAAAAGTAAAGAGAAAGCAAAGAGGCCGATTTTTTATCCTCACGCAGATGTTCTGTATAACAGTTTTCTCAAATTTCTTTACAAAGTCTGCCATGTAAATAGCAAATGCGCAATGGCACGACGCAACTGACTCTGAAAGCTAATGTGAGATAAGAATCTGATTGGTTTAATGCAAGTTATGCTCAAATTCCATGCTTAAAATAGCAAAAGTGGTTTCGGACACGCCCTTAATGCTTTTGAACCATGCTCATTAGACTTTGCGACTAGATCATTAAAATGAAGAATATAACGTCTACAACTGGAACAAATATAGCAAATTTTCAAACATAAAACGAGCATAAAAGCAAAATAAAACTACACAGATTCAAGCCAGCTTTAGAAATTACGACGTTCATAATATCACTATATATCTTTATGCCTCATATGCACTCTAACATAAACAACACAAGACATTAGTCAAAACTAATTGGGCAAAACAGCTAAACAAAATGTTGCTCTTAAACCTGATAAATGATCCCACCATCAAGCTAGTGCGACTGCAGCAGTCTTTATGATTTGATCTTTAATCACAAATCTCCTCATATTTCCCCTCCACCTGGAGCCTTAAAAAGGAACCCAAGATCACTGTTCAGCAGTAATTACACAAGAGGGAAGAGCAGTCTATTTCTCAACATTAAATCAGTGGATATTTCTTCTCTATAGGTTGGCTCAGACACAATGAGGCCACTCTTGCATTAGCACCATTTGTCATCCTGCCAGCGCTGCTTACATAAAGGTGTGGCATCGTGGACTAGGCTAATGCATTTGTGCTGAGAAAAAAAAACACTGCTGGAAAAGCTTCGGTGTTGGCCAACAGATGATGACACATCGCACTTTAAAGAAGCAGAAGCTATATATTCACTTTATTCCAAACCATTATAAGAGTCTATCAATAAATGTGTGGTTTATAGGTCAATACTATCCTAACAAAGTGCTTCCAAATGTGATCGTTTTGCTTAAACTGATAGATATTTTGGGGTCATTCTTGCTTTGCTGAAAATCATTTGTTAACACTAATAAGAGTCAGCTTGTATCTGACTGGCTGATGAATATTCTAAGTTGTGTGGTTATTTTCAGATAATCACACAGGTAGTCACAAGTAGGTTTTATTACATATTCCCAAAGACTATAGGTGCGTCCCAAATCGCATACTTATGCACTATTCTATGCCATTTTGTATTATAAATAGTGTAAATAGTGTGTTTACACTGAAAATTCTAAAAATAGTAAGTGCACTTTAATTACCCGGATGATGCACTCACTCAACCTATAAAATGAAGTTTGGAATGATGGACACTTCACTCACTCAACGACCGCAGCTTTGTCCACGTAGCTAAAGGGGCAGAGCTATCGGGCGCACATGTTAGATAACTATTTATTTTGGATTGTGAGAGCAGTACTCTCCTAAGAGAGGGATTATAGCGCCTCCCGGTGGTGAATGCAGTTATACTCATGACAGGCATTATTTGGTAGTTTGGGCATTTATTTCACTAATTTGGCAACAGTTAATTGTCATCAGGGAAACTATTTGAATCTCCGCTTAGTAAAAAAAAAAAAAAAAAAAACATTTGTGTTCCATTTGGGACAACCCTACATTCATATACTATGCTGTTGAGTGTGTACAGTAAGTGCATAAGTATGTAGTACATGAGTGCATAGTGTACCATTTGGGACCCAGCTTATAGAATAAACAAGACATGCTACTCAAATCTTTTTGAATGGGGAAAAGTGTAACTGTCAATATGGTGAATAAAGCCCCGTCTACTAGTACAGTAGCCAATCATCAATCATTATATGGTGAAAAAAACCCGCCTTCTAGTACGGGACTTGGACCATATGCGAGTTTCTGAAGTTTTTGTGCACGTTCGGAGTGATCGGCCCCTTGAAGTGCTTTAAAATGTGCAATTTTTATTCGAAATTTGACGTAATCTCAACTGAAATACAAAGACAGGGCGGGACACGTAGTAGCTCATCCCCTTTAAAAAAACAGCAAATGCAGTTTTTTTCCACAGCTCTGCCAGTGAGAGCAGTTGAGATAAAGCGCATCAAAGAAAAAAAGAAGCATATTGAAAGGGGCGGGGCATGTTAAATACTAGAGAGCATTTGATTGGTCAGAAGTTGAATGAATGAAGTATGAGGTGATATCAAGAAATATTGTTGATCCATTTAGGCGGTAGTGTTGTCACGATACTGAATTTCAGTACCTATCGGTATTTAAAGTTTTACAAACATCCATGTCCCGCTAACATTTTTCAGGCGTTTTTAAACACCTCTGATTGGCCATTGTGTTCACATTCTAAACAAAAATGACTTTGATTGACAGTGAATGTCATGTTTACCACCCTGGACTACTGTTTACCAAGTGTAAATAAAGATACTGAACTACAAGGACACTTAAGCATTTTAAATCCCTGAAGATCTGTCGATTCATCAGTGAATCGCTCATATGTCGGCTTACAGACAGACCAGCTGATATACGCGACTTTAAAACGCTCCAGTGTGCCTGTATCTGTGTTTGCACTTTGACGTGCGGTGAACTGATGACCTTCATGGCCAATCACAGTCATTTCTGTTGAGCATGTGAACACAACACTTAGCCATGACAACACTTAGGTGGAAGTGACAAACTGCAAGCTTGTGGATGTTTATATCAGTTTTATTTTTTCTAAATGCAAACTTTGGAGCACACCAGCTTATAGATATTCTATAAAAATGGGACGAATGCCCTGTGAGAAGAACAATGTCACTTCGTTGTTTGTTAAATCAATTCACTGACTGTTACAATTTAAAGGAAGCTACTCACAAAATTAATACAAATCTTGGGACATAAGAAAAAGGTAGATAGGATGATCTACTTCAAATAAATCACCTACCAATGTGATCAGTTTGCTTGAACAGACTTGTGTTGCTGTTGTTATTTTTAAAAATTCAATATCTGCTGAAAGTGAATGCTTAATTCTGATTGCCTGGTGAACATTTCAATGTTTGGGCAGTGATTTTCAGATAAATGCACATGTAACATAGTTGTTTACCTCGGAGTTAATTATAAGACTATAATAAGAAAAATAATAAGAATATAAGACCAATACATGCTTTTATACATACAGTACAGACTTTTACGGAAAATTACCAGATATTTACCAGTATGACTGTGTAAAAGGGACTAATGTCATGTTGGTCCCCAGTTTTTAAACTCTTAAATGATTGTTACAATTTAAAAGAGGTTACTACCGTAAATCACGCAAAGCATCATGACGCACAGGAAAAAGGTGTATACAGGTCCTGTAGGTCGATCTCATTCGAACAAATAACCTCTAAACGTGATCAGTTTGTTGTGAATCTCTAAAAAAACACCCAATAGTTATAAAGGCCCACAGCTGCACAAAGTTTCACCCTTCAAGATGCTGATGATCAATAATAGCACAACAACAATCCGGAACGCAGGCATACATCACTCCGACAGCAGCCAGACGCCCGGATCAAATTCATTATTGCACTGGGTTAACGAGACAATGCATCTTATGAGAAGACAAATGGCATTTGTGGTTACAAAAAGAGTGATAAATTGAGCTTATTGTCTTTGTAAGTAGCATTTTGTAGGCTGTGTTTATACGTGACGATTAGTATTTGTATAATTATATATCATATAGACAATGACTGATATACTATGTTTTCATACTTTATTTCTGGACAGAAATATTTGGGTTGCAAAAGGGCAATATTTATTCTGGGCAGCAGAGGGAGACAGACTCAGTATTGTTATTTATTTATTTATTTATTTATTTTTTTGCTTGCAGAACTATTGTATATATAAAAATAAAACAACTATGATTTGCAGGCACCAGGGTACAGATAAACAATTTCATTAATTTTATTTTTTTTTATTTTTGTGTGTGTGTGTGTGTGTGTGTGTGTGTGTGTGTGTGTGTGTGTGTGTGTGTGTGTGTTTATTTAAAGTCAGAATTATTAGCCCCCTGTTTATCCCCCCACATTTCTTTTTTTAATGGAGAGAAGATTTTTTCAGAACATTTCCAAACATAATAGTTTTAATAACTAGATATTTTCAAGACACTTCTATACAGCTTAGTGACATTTAAAGGCTTAACTAGGTTAATTAGGTAAACTAGGCATGTTAGGGTAATTAGGCAATTATTGTATAAAGATGGTTTGTTCTTTTGTATAAAGATGGTTCTTTCGTTCAACAAATTCTGACTTCAACTATATATATATATATATATATATATATATATATATATATAGTTGAAGTCAGAATTTTATATATATAGTTTTTAGTTATATTGTTTTAGCAAAAATGAATAAAATAAAAATATAACGCAAAATATTGATACAAACTATGAGAAAATAAATATGAAAAAAATGGTAGTTATAAAAAAACTAAAGTAAAAATGAAAATGTTTTAAAATTGAATATAAAAGCCAACTTATATTTATGACTATGACAATAGAATATAAACACAATAACACTGCTCATGATAAAACTATTGCTAGCTAACAGTTCAAATTAGAATAATGACAATAAATTAAAAAAATATGTAACAATGTAGAAACTAATCTTATTAAGATATAATATAATATAATATAATATAATATAATATAATATATTATAATATAATGATGAAAAAATAAACGTGAAAAATAAATAAATAAAATAATGGTAAGCATAGCATTTCCCCCTTATTTCTAACCAATTCAATATTTCAAAATTAAGCAAAACTTTGCCATTTGGCCTATTTGATCAGATTTAATTTCCTTTCATTTTAGAACAATCAAGGAAAAGTAATGTTTATAAGCTTTAGTACCTTAAGGAGAGCCAGCGCCACATTGAAGATGATGTTCAATCCCTGTGAAGAAATTAAAAAAACAATTACACACACACACACTCCCAAGGCCACAACATCTGAACAGCAAACCGCCTAGAGCAAAACAGCAAAACACTTCACTGTAATACAGAAGATCACAATTTGAAAACTATTTTTATTCATGCACCTGCCAAGTTAGTTTGAGAGTCTTTCTGCCCTTTTATAAAGTACTATGCAAATCTAATTAAGAGAAAACATAAAAAATATACTTTTAAGTCTTTCGTTGATGAAATTTGATCAATCTGTGCCTAAATAGTTTAACAGCAATACACATTTTTGAGGCTGTTTTTCTCAAAATGAGCTTTTGAGTCTTAAATTTCCATTTCAGCAGCTTTACAAACACAAACACACACAGTTTCATTCATATCTGTACACAATCTGACAAAAGTCTTGTTGATCCCAGCTGTAAAACCGACAAATAATAAACTTCTAGTTGGGATAACTTCTAGTGCATCCCAATGATCACAAATATTGAAAAAGACCTTTTGGAACCCGCATGAACCAAAGATTCTCAGAGTAATCAGTCAAGTATGGTGAAGGAAAAAAACATGGTTTGGGGTTATATTCAGTATGGGGGCATGCAAGAGATCTGAAGAGTGAATGGCAACATCAACAGCCTGAGGTAATAAGACATTTGTGCTGCCTATTACATTACAAAACACAGGAGAGGGCAAATTCTTCAGCAGGATAGCGCTCCTTCTCATACAGCACTTCAGCCTCCACATCAAAGTTCCTGAAAGGAAAGAAGGTCAAAGTGCTCCAGAATTGGCCTGCCCAGTCACCAGACAACATGAACATTATTGAGCATGTCTGGGGTAAGATGAAGGATGAGGCATTGAAGATGAATCCAAAGAATCTTGATGAACTCTGAGAGACCTGCAAGAACGCTTTTTTACCATTCCAGATGACTTTAAGCTATTTGAGTCATTGCAGAGATGTTTAGATGCAGTCCTCCAAGCTCATGGGAGTCATACACAATATGAAATCTTTTTCACAATGACGTTATATTCAATACTGTACATTATTTCTTTTAAGTGACAAGACTTTTGTCTAAGCAAAAATGAAGGCATGATTATATTTTATTTTGGTCAAATAATCTAGAAACCTTGGCCTTTCATATATGCCACTTCTGATACCAAATGATCAATTAAAAGTCGAGTTATTATTTGTTGATCCTAAAACTTGAATAGACGACAAGACTTTTGTCAGGTGGTTTACTTTGAAGGTTTTTACACAGGGATTTGTTCATATATAATTTGCATCAATCTACAGATATAAAATATAAAAATCCATTAAGTTTAATATGTAATATTATATTGTATTTATATTATATATGTTATAGTGTATATATATTAAATGATCGCATATTTCATTAATTAATCAATTTATTTATTTCACCAGCAAGGACCCATTGAGATACAATATCTGTTCTACCACGAAGACCTGGTCAAGACAGGTAGCATAGGACAGAGTTACAAAATATATATCACAACGCATAAACACACACAAAAATAGTATATTTTTAAGTAATTATTTTAATATTTTAATAGTAAACCATAATCAATTGTTAAAACATGTGCACTGTTTTAAATCGAGTCTTTTTTGAATATATCGATAGATGGTACGGATTTCATATATAGTATACCTTGAAGGTCATACCATACATATGGAGCATACATACAGAATGCAGATCGACCGAACTCTGTGTGAAAAAAAATGGCATCTTAAGTAAGAGTATATCTGCTGATCTGCTATTGTAAGTATTTGATTAGAACTCCAACAAACTAGATGTATACTGTGGTAATTTACCATCTAAAGCTTTAAAAATAAAAACTAAGATATGTTGTTTTCTCTTTAACTGTAATAAGGTCCATTCTGTCAATTTATATAATGACATTGATGCGTGTGTAATTATTTATTAATTAGTGCATACTTCATTGTTTATTAATTAGTGCATATTTAATGGTTTATTAATTAGTGCATATTTATTGTATTTTTAAAACTAACACTGTAGATGCTTGTAATACAGCAAATGTTTGCAATTGTTGATGTAATCGGTCAACTGTTGATTAGTATGATGAGACGGAGTGAGTGTTTGGAGCAGGTTCACCTGCAGTGCGTTGTGTTAAATGGTTTCAGAAGAGCTGCAGGGCTGTTTTTGCGCTCTACTAGAAGCGGCAAGCGTGATGTCGAGCGCATTTGCATTTCCTAAAATAGCTGGATTCATACAAAGAGCTGAACGTGTAGGAGTGACAGCAGCTGAAGGAGGAGGAGAGCTATTGTGCTCAGGTGGACTGACAGGCTGTGTGTGTGTGTGTCTGTGTGTGTGTATGTGTGAAAGTGCATGTGTTTCTCTTCTTGAGTGTGTGCATGTGAAGGTGTGTGTGAGGGTGTGTGCGTGTGCACAAGTGCATGTGTGTTTTTGTTTGTGAGTGTGTGTTTCTCTGTTTGTGTGAGTGTTTGCGTGTGCAAGTGCATGTGTGTTTCTTTCTCTGAGTGTGCGATGTGAAGGAGTGTGTGTGTGTGCGTGTGTGTTTGTGTGTGTGTTTGAGTGAGTGTTTGTGTACATGCAAGTGCATGTGTGTTTTTGTTTGCAAGTACATGTGTGTGTGCATGTGAAGTTTGTTGTGTTTGTACAGTATGTGTGGGTGAGTGTGTAATTATGTTTGTGAGTGTGTTTCTGTGTGTGAGTGTGCCTGTGAAGGTGTGTGTGTGTGTTTGAGTGAGTGTTTGTGTGCATGAAAGTGCATTTGTGTTTTTGTTTGCGAGTTTGTGTGTGTGTCTGTGTGTGTGTATGTGAAGTTGTGTGTGTGCAATTGTGTGTTGTGTTTGTAAGAATGTGTGTTTGTGTGTGTGCAAATGCATGTGTGCTTCTGTGTCAAAGTGTGTGCCTGTAAAGGTGTGTGTTTTTCTGTGTATGAGTGATTGTGTGTTTCCGTGTGTTTGTGTGTTTCTGCTTCTGAGTGTGTGTTTTTGTGTGCAAGTGCATTGTGTTGCTGTGTGCGAGTGTGTGAATGTTTGTGTTTGTGAGTATGTGTGTGTGTGCACATTTCTGTGTACTTTTGTACACTTTTGTGTATGTTTGTGCCTGTGTGGGTGTAAATGTGTTTTTGTTTGCATGATGTGTCTGTAAATGTGTGTGTTTTTGTTTATGTGTGTGTTTGTGTGTGTGCAAGTGCATATGTGTTTATATGTGTGCAAGTGCATAAGTGTTTCTGTTTGTGAGTGTGGGTTTTTGTGTGTGTGCTAGCGCATTGTATACAAGTGTTTTTAAGTGCGTGTGCAACTTTGTGTGAATGTGTGTTTTGTGTCTGTGTGCGTTTTTATTCATGTATATACAAACTTATTTGTATGTATGTATATTTTTGTGTGTATTTGGTCAGTGTGCGCGTGTTTGCATGATGTGTCTGTAAATGTGTCTGTTTGTTTATGTGTGTGCAGGTGCTTATGTGTTTGTGTGTGTGTGTGCAAGTGCATGTGTGTTTTTTGTTTGAGTGTGGGTTTTAGTATGTGTGCATGCATTTGTGTGTATTTTGTGTCTGTGTGGTGTTTGTATGTGTGCATGTGTGTGTGTGAAATTTCTGTGTATTTGTGTATATTTTTGTGTATGTTGGGTCAGTGTGCGTGTGTGTACATGTGTGTTTGTTTGAATGAAGTGTCTGTTGTGTGTGTGAGTGTGCTTGTGTGCATGAGTATATTTGTAAGTGTATGTCTTTATATCTGGTGGAAGCCTTATGGGGACTTGCATCACAATGGGGGCCTAAATTGTGGTCCCCGTCGGTAAATAAATACCCTTATAAATGATGAAATGTAAAACTGAGGGTCTATGAGGGGGTTTAGGGAAATAAGGGGCAAAATCTACAGTTTCCACAGTAGAAAGATCATTATGTCTATGAAGAGTCCTCACAAGGATAGCAAACCAAAAATGTAAGTGACTGTGTGTGTGGATATATGTGTGTAAGCGAGTGTATGTGCTTGAATGCGTGTATTTTTGTGTGTGTGTGTGTGTGTGTGTGTGTGTGTGTGTGTGTGTGTGTGTGTGTGTGTGTTATAGGGGCGCAGGTGGCATCGCAGTGGCGAGTGGAGAAGCAATGCTGACTTCAGCTCCGCATGGAAACACCCGTCTCGAGCATCGCCTCCACAAGCTGCTCACATGGCAACACTGAGCTAAAAATAACCAGCCGTAGCTATTAATAACAACCAAGCTGCTCCCGACAGGCTCTAGATGGCGCTGGGGGGCTAAATAGAGATCGCAGGGGGGCATATTAGTGTGTTTGTGTTTGTTGAGGGAGAATAAGACTTTAGTGGTGGACGTTTTTGGTTATGCAAGAAATACTGGGTTTGAAAGGCAAGTGGACATGCCATGATTGATGGTTGTTGTGGGTATGAGTGAAAGTGTTAGAGTTTACGTTTGCAATCGGGCAGAGTGAATGGAGCAATTTGCCTACATTAACATAATGAGGCACAGGGAAAAAAAAGTTACAGCAATGGAACAGGAGTTGCACTAGTGTAATAGCAAAAAAAAAAATAGAAAATATAATGTAATAATACAAATATACAAAAAAAAAATGCATTAAATAATAAAAAAAAGTAATACAATATGATACAATATAAAATATTGTGAATAAACATGAATAAGGTTAAATTGTGGTACTATAGCATAAGAGTGAAATGCTAAAATAAAAAGTTGATTAAAAATATGTAGTTAAATATAATAACATATAGCAATTAGCACTTTATAATATAATATAATATAATATAATATAATATAATATAATATAATATAATATAATATAATATAATATAATATAATATAATATAATACTACAACATTTAATACAATACCACACAATATAATACTATTTTAAAATGAAATATGGTAAATAAACATGAATCAATTAAAATTATGGTAGTAGTGTGTAAGTGTGCCATGCTAAAATAAAAAGTTAACAATAAAATAAATTAATACATTAAATATATAATTAAATTAAATATAAAATAATATAAAAATAATTTAAATATAAAATAAAATATGAAATAAAATTAAAATACATTAAAATTAAATTAAATACATTTAACAAATAATACACAAAAATATATAATTAAATAAAATTAAATATAATGTAAAATAAAATATATATAATAAAATTAAATTAATAACATATAATAAATAATAAAAATGAATATATAATTAAATATAAAATCAATTACAAAATAATATATATATATATATATATATATATATATATATATATATATATATAAAAAACATAAAAAAGATAAAATTAAATAAAAAATATAATATTAAATAAAACTAATAATACATAATAAAAACAAATAAATTAGAGTCTATAGTTAAATATATGTAACTTGCATAATATAAGAATAACTATAATATAATACAAATAATACAAACATTAATTAATATAATAATATTGATATGCTATTAATAACTCACATGTTATTTAATATTTATAATCATTTATTAATTAATATAATAATCATCCAAACTATCAAACAACCAAAACAATCTATTAATAGCAAAATTATGCAAACTAGCAAAATCAGTATTTACATTTTCTATACAGTAAAAAAATGAAAAGCTTTAATCTTGTCAAACATCACAACACATTTAAATATATATTTTTATATTTGTAAATACTGACTCTCATCTGAAACGAGTTTTCTACATTGTGATTAATCTTAGAACACAAAGAAAACAAAAAACTCAAGTTGACTAAAATGAAATTATGAATGAGGGTTAGCGAATGAATGTGAAAGACCAGGATGACAACGAGTTACTCAACATTAGAGGAAGAGCCTTAAAAGGCGGAGGAGTGCTAATGAATTAGAGATGAATTGATAGATGGAGAAAGAGAGAAGGAGGGAAGGAGCATCTAACAGATTTTCATCATGCGATTCATTGACTGAGACAGGCTGAGGAAACTTTTAATTGTCTGGCCTCGGGCTACTACAGACGCTCAATGAAAGCAATGGGGAAAAAAAATAAAAAGGAAAAGCTCTCAGAGGAGCAGAAAGGTCGAAGCGTTTCTTTCAGAAAGACACAAAGCCCATTTCTGAGAAGTCAAGGATGCATGCTTTGGGAAATCTAACAGAGTTCAAGAAGTTTAGAAACAAGCAAACTTTTCCTTCAGATTTTATCCGCTGTTCAAAAGCTGACTGTGTTTGCTTAGGAAAAAAATATGGATTTTTCATATATTAAACAGAAAGAAATGACACATTTGTTTCTTTAAAGTAAAACTACACTGTTTAAAAAAATCAGCTCATTTTACAACTGTCCTAGAGTTAAAAGATTAAGTTTTACCATTTTTAATCCATTCAGCCGATCTCTGGGTCTGGTGAGGGCACTTTTAGCTTAGCTTAGCATAAATCATTGAATTGGATTAGACCATTAGCATCTTACTTTTAAAAAGATTCTACTAGCTACAGAAATCATTTGAACATTTGAACTTGACATAAGAAACATAAAGGGGTGCATCAAAGGCACACATAGGCACACATAGGTAGCTGCTTAGAGACAGAAGGCAAAGGGTGCAGTATGTTGCATCTAGTGAGTGACTCCCTTCATCAACATGCATGATTGCATTCATCTAATTTGCTTAAACTAAGCGATCCAATATGTGGCTATATTCTACAAGCAAGGATTCTGACACCAACGTGAAGCATATGCTTTACTAAAATTGTGTGTAAGGTGAGAAACTTTGAGAAATTTTGAGGGCACAGGGAATAAACTTAAAGGCAGAGGAATGCACTGTCTTTGACAGCTTTCGACATCATCTAGCACTTGCAGTGACTACATTTGTGGACACCAATCCTCCGATTTTAATATGATTAAGACAATACTTTAATTAAGAGTCTACCATGTAAACAGCGATTTTAGATTACCTTAAAGGACCACACACACCCACACCTACTTCTGTTATTATAGAGCAAGTGTACCTGGGTGGGGAATTTCAGGGTTGTTTTACGATTTAGTCATATGCTGTATGCTTTCTATATAAAACAAAAACTGAAATAATAAAAACAATTGTTCACAAAAACTGCATAGAAAACCTGGATAACCCTGTGACGCAATGAATTTAATGGATGTGTGTGCTATAACATGTAACACAATCATGAAAGGAACATTCAAAACTCAAGGACATGAAACACCCTTATCATATTATTGTGTCTTATTCAGATAAAGGCAAATCATTAGATTACTCATGTCCATGTAAACATAGTCACAAGCCCCAACCCAAGAAAAAAAGGAGCTCACTGATTTCGATGACAGCCTTTCCACAGGTTAGTAGTAAGCTAATGTAATGTTAACTGCATAATGCAAGTCTTGCATTCATGGTAACAAACAAATGATCAAAAGAAATAAATTAATGCAATTCAAATATATAAAATATGAGTTGATGTATACTTTAAACTTTAAAATGATAAAGTATAAATATAGAATTATTTTGTTTATTTATAATGATTAAAATATATATATTTTTTGTCAAATAATTTTTTGGCTCAAAAGTATCAGTTCAGGGAGCGTTTAGGCACCAGTACTGTTTTAAAAGTATCGATTTAGCACCGGTATTAAAATAACCTCAAGCGATACCCAACCCAAGTCAGAATTAGACTAAGAATTGTAAAAATATTAGTTTTACAGAGTTATGTAAAGAAATTATTTTACCCACTATTTACATATAGTACTACATTTACTATTAATCACAGTACATATAGAATTTAAAGCAATTTTAAAGTATGTTAAAGAATCGTTTTGAAGCTACTGCAATTTCACAACATATTTTTACATGCACTGTGTGTAAAAGTTAATAAATAAAAGACTAATACATGTGTTCAAATCAAAATAAACAGTATTTTTATAAATCAACAGAAATATTTACTAAATGCATTAACAGTTTGAAACTCATAATGAAGTTAAATGATAAACCACAGTAATATCTACATCAGACACAAATGATCTTTTTTTTTTTTCTAAATCTACAGTTACCAGATTATAGTATGGCAACTACAGTTACATACCAGCACACCTCTGGATATGTAAATCACACATTTATTCTTACCTCATTTTAATGTTGACAAATCCGGCCCTGCAATTAAATATTCTCTGTTGTACCAGTATTCAAAAATCATGTGTACAATGAGTAGTACATCTAAATGTGTACTTTTCACACTAAAACAGAGATTTACAACTGTATAGACGGTGAGTGAAAAAGAGCCAATGGCTCGGTTTCTATTTATGTTGCGATTCGCTTCTTATTTTTACCCGCAGTGACACCTCATTGGTTAAAGGACCTGGTCAGGCCCTGGTTACTGTGATTTTGTGATTAGAGGAGGATGTATCACCTCGCACAGGAGCAGGTCGGTGATATGGAAGACCATGCAGAGAGGGAACTTGGCGGTAAACAGTGTTAGGAACCACTGGGATGCGTACATGTGAGCCTCCAAGTTCAGCTCCTGGAAGTGAGACCACAGGTCCGGCAGCAGCTCCTGGAGAGAAACACTGACGGTTAGTGCAGGGGAAAAGCATGACCTGTAGTCAACAGAAAGCCTGACAGCGGTTTTGTGTGTTGAGCAGTGCTTCCAGAAATTTGTGATTTTATGATTGCTAAATTTAAGGCAAACATCAAGCAGACTTTACGAATTTTACGAAATAAGGTATTTTTAAAAACTGCCTCAGATTTCCTGCAGATTTTGGCTATAAATAGAGAGAGAGATAAAAAGAAACAGACAGAAATATGACAAAAATGACTAACAGATGGACAAAGACAAACAGTCAGTTAGATAGATAAACAAAGAAACAAAACAAAACGAAGGACGGACAGACAGACACAGATAGAAGGATGGATGGATGGATAGGTCTATGAGTTTTTCTGATTATCCCACTGCTTTGGACTTGATATTGATGTGCGACGCTACATCCAGAAGTTGAAATTCTTTTAACTTGAGGCTGGGTTTTAAAAACATGGCGCTCATGTGAGGTGCTTTAAAAGACACAAGATCCAAGTGTGTGGTCATGTCTATTTTACAAGAGTGTGTTTAGATTAAAAAAAATAATAATAATAATGAAAAAGTAGCACTTTTGGAAACAATACTCAATGTTCATAAGTGTGTGTATGTTTATAAAGCAAAAGTTTCTAAATTATGTAAATGAAAGCTCTGAGATTATAGAAAATATCATTAATTAAAATATTTAATGCTTTCCTAAGGGGATTTTAAAGAAATGAAAAGACAAATTAACACAAAATATCTAAACATAATGGGCAAAATGTACCACCTGAACTAAAATGAAAACAAATAAAATGAATATATGAAATGACTGAAGAAAAACGAAATCATGAAGATGCTACAAATTACAAATTATACAAACAAAAAAATACAATTCAATATAAAACTCAACAAACCACACAATTAGAGAAAACATTAATATTTAGCTTTAAAGGCCAATTTTAGAGGTTTATTTAAATCATAACTTTAAAGGACTTTGCGCACTGAAGTCTGATATTTTTAGAGAGGGTGCTCGCTGCAGAGCCATTAGAGCAGAGCTGAGCTCCAGCGAGGGGGAGCATGAGCTCTCGCTCTGCCTCCTGTAAGCTGTTTTAATGCGTACACCAACCCCACCCCTAACCCTACCCCCAGTGAAATCACTCGTAGAAGAAGTGCAAAAAAGGTGGAGCTCAAGCTCAAGCTCCCCCTCGCTGGAGCTCAGCTCGCCCAAATGGCTCTGCAGCCAGCACCACTTGTATTTTTATGCATTTTTTTTTGTATTCAAATGCGCAAAATGTCACGTAAACAAACCTTGCACAACGAGTCCGATGCATATTAATTCATCCATTACAAAAAAATACAAAACATTTCGGAGTCAGTTTAAGCAGTGATACGTTCTCCTCTCTTCACCAAAGTAGAAAAAGAAAGAGGAACAGGCTATATTGTGTTCAAAGTTCAGCTCATTATCAAAGATCTGTGCTGGATTATTCCGAAATGCAAAGTTTAGCCTATTTCAGGAAATCAGTGGAATTTTGATACATTGCTTGTGATACGTCACACATTCACGTACGTTAACAAATCCTGAAGAGACTGGCTGTGCCTATAGACATTAACATAGATGGCAGCCACGTTGATGTGTCGAAGCAATGGACCAAAAGTGAAACATGCTTTCTATCATAATGTCTATGAGCAGTACGTCAAATGTATAAACACAAACCAAACGGCATTCTGTATTTAGCTTTTCGCTTGTACAGTGGTACTGAACTGTCAATACTCCCCTCGAAGCTCTTTTTGGGATGCAAAAAAATAAATTAATTAATTTTAAAAATCGAACCTGGTTCGAATTTTTGTATTAAGGATGAAAATTCAGAGGCAGTGTGTTAATACGATTCACACAACGCAAGTTCGAATGTATTTTTTAACGTGCGAAAATGATGGACGAAATTTTTTAATTCAGTGTGCAATAACCTTAAGTAAAAAATGATTGAATAGGGAAAAGTATGTATTCAGAGACCATGCAGAGAATAAATCAAAGAGGTAACCGACATTTACAAAGGCACATCTTAATTCAGCATCTCAAAGAGACCTTTTCTTCTGGAGCACTTTTTTCTGTGGTGCATTGGTAGATGGAGGAGGTGAGAGTGTTACATTAACACATGTAGAGGAAACGACACCAAGAAATGGGAATTCTTCCACAGAGTGGTGTACAGCACGTTTTCCTGATCGATACTAACACTCTTGTAGTAGCAGAGCTAGTCGATTCTAACCAGGTTGAGTTTATCACTGAAAGAGGGATACTTCAAGGCTGATTGAATTTAAGCACAAAATTAAAACTCATTTTCCAGTGTGCTGGGGGTAACAGCTCACAATACGACCATCGCTTACACTGCAGACTAAGGGCCAGATTTACTAGTTACACTTTACAAGAACTAAGACAAACTACTTTTGGTAATTATAAAGCGAACAGAGTTTGAAGTCAGCATGAAATGGACATTGCATTCGCCTCCTAATTCTGTATGGTGGCTGAGAGAACTCAATTGTGCTGCAAGTTTAGAAAACACATCATCATCCATTAGATAACAAATTCCCACAACACATGCAAATACAGAAATATTATTAAAAAAAAAGAAATGGCTAGATTACTTGATATTGAAGAGCATTTTTCTTGCAATTCTGACCTTTATTGTAATCCTGAGTTCATGTCTCATCAGTCTGACTTTATTTTTTCACAATTGTGACTTCCCGAGTTCATATCTCAGTTTGCACTTGTTTATTGTCATTTTCTGAAGAAAAAATTATTTGGCAAAATTGCGCAATTTATATAAACAATTTGCACAATTCTTGTAGTTTATAGCTCACAATTCTGACTTTTTTGACTATTTCCTACAATTCATAGTTTTATCTGCATATTTCGATTAATTCATTCATACATTAAGCAATTTTAGGCTTTATATTGTGCACTTCTAATTTTTTACTATAATGTACTACACATAAAATTGTAAATTTACAACATAAAAATAAACCAATATATAAAATTGCAAGAGGTCTCAATACTGACCATGGTCATTTCTGCAATTCTTAGTTTGAATCTTGAAAGTCTTATTCACATTTTTTCTTCAGAATTAAGAGATAAACTCACAATTGTGAGTGAAAATTAGGAGTTTTATCTCGCAATTTAAACTGTTATTTCTGAATTGAGCAATAATATATCATACACCCGGTGCAATAATGTGAGCCTAATTTTCCCAGTTGCGCCATATTGTTTAAATTGTAAATCCATTTGCGCCGCTTTGTAGACTCATGGGTGTTGTGGTCTAGAAAGGAGGCGTGTTAAGGCGCATTGTTGGAGTGTTGCTATTTTGAGTAACTAAAATAGACTGTTAAATAAACCAGCTGAAAGCAGGTCTAAAGTCCAGCGCAGGGCACGTTAGTTGTGCGCCTTAAACACTTACACATTGCTTAATACACACAAATGAATAAGAATAAAAGGATTAAAATACTACAAAAAGTACTATTTTCAACATAAATATGAAAACCACTGCCTCCATGCCTTCTTTACCCTTGTGGGTTATTTTCAGTTTATGACACATTACTTTTGTATAATGGTATTATTACTAGTAGTATTATTTATTATATGCATATTTATATTTGTTTTAATAAAAACAAGCTTAGATTCGTTTAACTGTCAGGTTTTGAACCATATAGGTTAATAGGTGTGTATGGATATACAGGTAACTTAGTTTTTTTACCACACTTCGTTATTATTGTTCATTTATTCGTTGGCTGGAAATTAGAACTGAATCTAGAAAAGGTTTAGAAACAAATCTTTGCACTAAACAAACAAAATTAAATATGTAGGCTAATGGATGTCTTTAGTGGAGTGCGTACAACACTGTTTCCTTATCCATGACAGTCAAGGAGTAGAGTCAAGAGTAAAAGTAAAGAGAAAGACACCGAATGGAGGAGGCTTGCTCTTTATCCTCACACCACAGATGGTCTGTTTAACTGTTTTTTCGCAAGTGAAGCGTTCAGTTTTTCCACTTACAAAGTCCGCCATGTAAACAGCAAATGTGCAATGGCATCACGCAACCGACTCTTAAAGGGAATGGGAAATGAGACTTAGATTAATTTTAATGCACATTATGCTCAAAACACACCTATAACTCATTAAGAGAATAAGCTCAACCCTGTTAGACCATGTGCGAACAGTATGTTTCCATCCTAAAATAGCAAAAGTGGATACGGACACGCTCTTAATGCTTTTGTACCATGTGCATTAGACTCTGTGCCTAGATCAAATAGAGCCAAAAGACGTACTATGGCAAATCACCCTTGTTTTTATTACTTGCAATTGTGTGATATAAACTCACAGTTATGACATTGTCAAATTATGAAATATAAACTTGCAATTAAATAATATTAAAATAAGAAATAATGGTACACTTTAGTTTAAGCATCAATTGTCACTATTAACTAGTGGTTTATTACCTTCTTATTAATAAAAAAAAGTTTATTAAGCTAAAAGTCATTAATATTTTGTTAATAGTGAGAACTGTAGCTTAAAAAAAAACATGAGACTAAAATACTTCTAACTGCTGTGCTGTAAAACACAAACTGTAATATTGTATAAAATTCTTCATGTCATGTCATTTTTACAATTAGTTGTCTTAAAGGTTTAACTGAAAGTTCAACTGAAAATTAAGTCTTTATTTTTATTGGTTAGTAGCAAAAGAATGCAAGACGTGCTGAAATCCAGCACTGTGTTTGTGCTCAGCTCAAAAGTCCAGCTTATACATATTTAATAAAATCAGTCTTTTGTGTGACAATCACACTTAACCTCACAGCAATCTATACTGTAGCGCAGCACTACTCAGAAAGCAAAGAGCAAACCTGTAGCAGGCGCTCCAGCTGGTAGAACTTGCAATGAAGATCTTCAAAGTTGTTTCTGTAAAGCTCTCTGAGACCATAGTTGAACATGATCTTCACCAGCACACAGAATGCTTGTTCCTCAGGCATCTAAAAAGAAACAGTGACAGAGATATTCATGATTTCTGGATGATCAGGCTGCAATGAACACAACCAACCCATCAGTAGCATGAGTGTTTCACTCGCTCTTAAGACTAGAAATAGACTGTTTAATGTATTCATTATTCAGAAGTATGTGTGCGAAATTAAAGGAATACCCAGCGGGTTTGTAAAGTGTAGTTAAAAGTAAAGTCTTAAATATATTACATTTTATGATCACACTTTATTTTGATGGTCTGTTTGTTGAATTTAAGTTACATTGCATCTATATGCCAACTAATTCTCAATAGACTATAAGTAGACTGTTAGTTTGGAGTTAGAGTTAGTGTAAGTTGACATGTACTTAGATTAGTTTCTTATCGTCAGTTGAATGTTTGTTGAAGGATCAGTAGACAGTCTACTAATGCTCAAATGGACCATCATAATAAAGTGTTACCCATTTTATAACTGAAGTATTATTATCATTATTGTAATTAAAAGTCATTATGCAGAAGATTTTTCTTTAAGGCTATTATTGATTTATAATAAAAAAAATGTGTATCTTTTATTATAAATTTGTTTAATTTAAAATAAAGTTTGATAACTATACAATAAATACACTTTTAAATGTCTTTTACATTTATAATTTATGAAAGTATTTTAATTTGGGATTTAAATAACCAATGCTACGATATCTGATGGGATTATTAAACGTAAAAAGCCACAATGATTTAAAATAAATTAATAATTTAATGTGCACATTTATGATGTTGAGATTATAATAAACGTTAAATATAGCTGTAGTGCAAATGTAAACTAGATTTTCCTCAAATGTTTAAGTGAGCAGAGAGAATTTGTGACATCCTACATTTTAGCATACATTTTAAATATATAAATCATTGTAAATATCCACCCCACTTCACTTTACTACAGTTAAAATATTATTATTATAATTTATATTATATAATTAAATAATATAATTTATATTATTATTATTATTATTATTATTATTATTATTATTTATAATTATTATTAATATTAGGTTCATCTTAGGTCAGGCAATAAAATATACAATATATTGATACATATACTGATACAATTCACCAAACAAGAAACTATCAGGAAAACATAATTATACACTAAATAAGTATCTAAATAAAAGGTAAAATGCCATGTATATACACAAAAACATGCATACATAAGATAAAATAAGAAATAAAGTAATAAAATAATAAAATAATAAAAATAAAAGAATAAATAAATGATACAAAAATAAAGAAAAAAAAGTCTCTTTAAAAAAACTTAGTAAAGGGCTAAAGACTTTCTACAACTGTTTTAGCTTTTGTTTAATTGCAAACCAAATATTTTCCATTCAAAGAGCATCAAAGAAATCAAAAACCCATTGCTGATAAGAAGAGGAAGCTGCTGACCTCCAATTCATAAGAATAAATAGTATAGCCAGTAAAGTTGCAAAGGCTACACCAAAAGCAGGATTCCAAACAGTGCCATTAAGGGGTTTACGTCTATTGATGAAAAAAAGTGTGTGAAAAGTGAAAAAACAATAGAAAAACACCTAAAGCTAAAAAATCAGGCAGTTTTAAACAAGAGCAGAAAGTATGTAACAGTGGCTGGTTCGGTTGTACAGCGAAGGCAAATTGGGTCAATACCAGGGAAAATTGTATTTAGTTTAGTTGTAGAACAGTGTATACTGTGCACAACCTTGAATAGAACGAGAGTATGACTAGCGTTTATTGATGATAAATTTATTCGTGCAAGAATAAGATCCCAACTATTTTCTTCAATCATTAAATTTAGTTCCTCCTCCCCCCAAAAAAACTCAGTACATCTGTTGAGAGGGGACTGTTTTGTGTTAATAATAGTAAAAAAACTATTATTTGATGCATTCTAATAGCACTACTAAAGTGCACCCTAAATTTTTCACACTAAAACCATACGTTTGTTGCTAAAAAAAAAGTAGGCTTCAGGCCCTGCCTATAGTGTTGAACGTGTCAGGCGCTGCGTCAGTCTTTCTGCCCGTCTCTGGTGATGCTATCAGAGTTTGTTTGTGTTTCTGAGATGGAGAGCGAGACAGACAGCGAACTGGGTATTAAATCACAGCGACAGCGTGTGTGTCCCGAGCTCAATGGGCTCCTGCAGGTAGACGAGCTCCGCCATTAATATTCCTGACAGCTCCTGAGCTTCCTGGGCAAGGCCATGAGAAAGACACTTACACTACATTATAGAAATCCTCAAACGCTCTCTAATATCAAGATCCGTATGGGCTGGTGTCGCAGAAAAACAACAACAACAAAAAGTGGCCATCTTATTCAGGTCTGGCTTTAATTAAATATGGAATGAGCCGCTTCATCAATGTCCGTCCTTTACTTTCTGTTGCTTTTCGTTAACTAATCACAAAGTCAAAGATAAGGCTCAGATTGTATTGTTATTAGTGTTATTTACCTAGCTAGCTAATGAATGTTTGTAGAGCATTTTCTGTGCTAAGGTTTCAAAAAGGAATGCTTTTAATGTTAATATAAGTACATATACTAAATATTTTAAATTCAAATCCATTTACCACAATACATCAAAAAGCCACAAGCCAGGTATTGTTTGTAAGAAAAGAACAAGCACAAAACAAAACAAAAAACAGGCTAAAAATACAATAAATACCAAAACAAAAGCTAAACATATACAGTAGAAATTCAGCTCGCATTCATGTAGTTCTGCAAAGTATTTTCTGGTTTAAAGCCTTGATTAAATATATGAATATATATATATATATATATACATACACACACACACACACACACACATACATATATACATACATATATACATATATATATATATATATATATATATATATATATATATATATATATATATATATATACATACATATAAAAATATATATATATTTTTTTTTTTTTATTATTAAAAACAAAAATGAAATCTACAACAAAACAAAAACAGTTCATGAGAAAGTAACTACTAAAAAAGACAAAAACATGACCCAAACTAAACCATAAATTAACTAATTTTCATAGAATTTTTTTCAGGCTATAGGATCTCAAAAAAGAATAATTACAATTAGGAACATTTAACATTTAATAAATACAAGTAAATAATAATATAAAATAATCAAATAAACAAAAAAACAAACAAACATCTACAAGCTAAACTATTTGAGGTATAGTTAAAATAATTATAAATGCAAAAAACTTATGTAAATTAACCTATTATTTACTATTAAATATGTATCAAATTAGTTATTAGTGGTAAATAAAAAAGAAAAGTCAAAAAATAAAAAAATGACAATATATGAACACTGAGAAAAGGTTTATGAAGTAGTAAAAAGCAAAATACTTACATGTAACAGTAATACAGCCGCCAAAAATGATTGCCCTTGGCAATAACCAATTTCCTCATCATACACAGAGTAAGCCTGTGGAAAAACATCGGTTCAGGTATTGTGCCATTAAACAAAACTTTCCAAAATGAAGTGAAAAGGGGTTTTAAAATAATTAATGACAATAATACATTTATTTGAAAAAACCTTTAAAAAATACTGCTTTATGCAGCTTTTAAAATCACAAGCAGTTGTGCTGCTTTATAATTTGTTAATGACTGGAAACCCTGATAAATGCTGATGGCAACGTATGCCGCTCTGAGTTGATGGATTTTGTCTCTGGGATTAGCTGGATTGAAGGTCTTTTGCACAATTTAGGAGGCTTTTAATCTGCCGGTGCCAATCAGCTGATGGAGAACCTCTTAAGGCTGCTCACAAAGGAGATTTAAAAGAGAAGAGCACCATCACATCCCTGTTTCTCCAGCACTCACTGCTTTTCTCCTGTTTCCTATAATACATGTTTCTAAAAGTAAAAATCTAAATACATTCTTCTGGGATGCAATATATTATGATTACCAAACTATGTAAAAATGGAGTATTAACGAATTGAATTAATAAATTAACTAATAAATATAGCAGCTTGTTTCTGCCTTGCTTCTAATTTACAAAATTATAAAAATTTTATTTTGACTCTCTATTTTGCAAATCGAACCCTGTTTCTAGAACTGAAATATAAGTACAAACTTATAATTGCGAGACGTAAACTAACGAGAGAAGAAAACTAACTCTAAGATGTATCATAAAGTACTTCGTAATGAAACTGTAAACTAACTTTCAATTGCAAGATGTAAACTAACTCGTAATTCTGATGTAAACTAACTTGTAAATGCGAGCTGTAAACTAACGTGTATTTGTGAGATGTAAACTAACTCCTAATTCCGCGATGTAAACTAACTCATAAACGAGAGCTGTAAACTAACTCGTAATAGTGAGATGTAAACAAACTCGTAATTGTTAGATGTAAACTTAGTCATAAACGAAAGCTTTAAACAAACTTGTAATCGTGTGATGTAAACAAACTCGTGATCGTGAGATGTAAACAAACTCGTAATTGTGAAATGTGAACAAACTCCTAATTGTTAAATGTAAACAAACTCGTAATCATGAGATGTGAACAAACTCGTAACTGTGAGATGTGAACAAACTCGTAATTGTGAGATGTGAACAAATTCGTAATCGTGAAATGTAAATAAACTCGTAAGCGTAAGATGTAAACTAACTTGTAATCGCAAGATGTAAACTAACTCGTAAGCCTGAAATGTAAACTAACGAGAGATGAAAACCGACTCAGAACTCGAAGATGTACTGTAAACTACTTCATAATCACAAACTGTACCCTAACTATTGTTAATCGCAAGATGTAAAATAACCCGTAATTTTGAGATCTAAACTAACAGCCCTAGTATTACTTAATTTCTAACAAAATCCGGCCAAATTAAGTTCTTTTTTAAATTCATTTTGGCAATTCGAAATTGCTCACCAAAGCAAATTTTTTGGGGGGATTGCATTTTGACTCCAAAACACCTGAGCTACCATTGGTCTGTTACGTGTACTTCAACCACCAATTCGTTTCTTATTCCACAGAGGTCAGACAGGAGAACAACAACAACATCGACATGAACAAATCGAACAGTCAAGTAGCAGAGCTAGTTTTTTTTTATGAAGCAGATGTTAACAGAACAGCTGCCATTATTGCTGTGTTAAGGAGTAAACCGTACAAGTAAACAATGTGATGTACGTACTGCCTCATCTGAATGTTCTACACAGTATACCGTCACTCAGCCTTTTAGAATTTCGTTTTAAATAAAAACATTTGTTCTTCCGTTTAGATTGAAGTATACCGGGGCCTTACAATCGCAAGATCTAAACAAACTCACAATAGCAAAAACAAACAGATTTGTGAGATGTAAACTCAAAACTGCTAAATGTAGTCTCTAATTTGCGATATGTAAACTAGGAATTTCTAAATGTAAACTAACACAGAATTGTGTAACGAAAACTCAGATTAGCAGTGTGTAAACTCGAATTTGTGAAATTAAACTAATAATTATTGACTAATTCGCAAACAAATTCTTAACCGTGAGATGTAAACTAACTCATAATCATGACATGTAAACGAATTAATAATGGCGACATGTGAACTAACAAGAGATGAAAACGAAACATCTGTAAAATAAAAAGTAGAACTGTGAGATGCCAACTGAGAATTGCCAGATATAAACAAACTCAGGATTTCAAGATGCACACTCTAAATTCTGTTAAGTCAGGATTGTACGATATTTTTAGAACTGAGAGAAAAAAAGTGAGAAAGGTCAGAAAGAGTCAGAGTTACATTTTTTTTTATATTTACCTCCAAGCAGAAACAGCCTTCTACAGATAACGGCATAAAATATTACTCTAGCTTTATTTCTAAATGTGAATGATTCATGTTGTTCAACTAGCATATTGCACAAGCGAGTGTTTTCTCACATCTCAGGGACACACGTTTGCATCAGATATCAGGATGCACGGAAGTGAACACAGCACACGTGTCAGTATATCTACCAGGCCATTATTATAATTACGACAAAACAAAAGGTCAGCGGATAGAGATGTTGCAGTGGTGTCGTGATGCTGTTAGCAGACAGAGGGAATGAGTCACGGCTGGAGGATTCGCAGCATTCAGCTCACCTTGCAGATCTTGTATAGAGAGTCTTGGCCATCGCCGCCTGAGTCTTTGAAGTAATCGTGAGCAGGGAAGGTGCGATGGATGTCTCTGGTGATCACGGCTTCCTGGGCAGATTCCTGTGGGCCGAAATACAAGACTGTTACAATCAGATGAGATGTCAACAGTACACATTTGTTTAATTTTAAGCATTATTACAATCAATAGTTTTTTTTAATAAGCTTATTTGTATCATTATGACATTATTATGTGCACTCTTTAACTTTCTACATGCACCAAACACCTTCATATAAGCTCTCCATACTTCTTAAACAACATTGAGTAATTCTGAGTGTGCTCCACACACAAGTGAGTTAGAATAACAAAACTGTAAGATAAAGTAAAAAAAAAGTTTTTTTTTTAAACAAAAATATTCTTAAAAATTAACTAAACTTAAACTTAGAGTCTTCATACGTTGATCAAAACTATTATGTTATCCTTACTTGTAAGTTGCTTTGGATAAAAGCATCTGCTAAATGAATAAATGTAAATGTTTTAAAATAAAAAAAGCTTTAATTATTAACAATAATATGAAATATGCTGTATTGAATGTATTAATATTATTATTTTTATTTTTAATAATTATTTAAGAATTGTTTAATGAAATGCATAAAACCTAAAATATTAATAATTAATCATATTCATATAAATTAATAGTTAAATATTAACTAAATAGTATTGTTAATGATACAATTGTATTTGGTATTTCCTAGTCTTTCTATGCTGCTCTCTGACGAAAAGTACTTATTTTATCCTTATTTATAAGTTCCTTTGGATAAAAGCATCTGCTAAATAGATGAATGTAAATGTATTATAATTATAAAAAATATATACTTTTTATTAACAATGTTACAAATATTGTATTAAATGTCTAAATAATTAATAATTTTAATTTTATTTTAATTTAAAAATGCATAAAAACAACTAATTAATAATATTAATACTAATTAATTAAATATTAACAAAATAATAATAATATTATTATTAATACAATTTTGATTGTTTTTTATAAAGAAATAAATATTACTATTAAAACGTTTATTAAGAACTTTCTTTACATATTGTACAGTATTAACTAGGCATGTCCCAATCAGTTTTTTTTTCCCAGTCATTTCATTTTAAGTATCTACTGATACCAAAACCCAATCAGGTACTTCTATAATACATAAAAAAAGTATAAAGAAAAGTGGCGAAATCGATCCAGGATGTTCCTTTTTTTTTTTTTTTTTAATTTAATTCACCTTGTTTTAACATTCAAGAACTCTGTTAACAAACAGAGCACTTCTGTGAGGTAGCTTGAACAATCAAGTAATAAATAACACCAATTCTTCACTTTTGGACCTTTGTGCAAGAGTAAATATAAAACAAATAGCATCTCAACTTAAAATACCCGACAAGCAATCCCAAGTTTACATATCTCACAGTTTTCTATGCATTGTTGTGTCATCATTAACTTTATAATACCTCTAGACCACAGACATACGCTTTTCACTTCAAGCTACTTCTGTGTTGTACTTTGCCGGCATTTAACCAATTGCGTCTCTGCAACAAAGTGATGTCATGCCACACGCGATGTTGTTTCTGTGTCAAGTCAAGAAAAAGGTCCAACTCTGTGCCACCGCATATCTATAGATGTGTTAAAAAATTATGAGAATATTTGAGTCTTGATCGGGCCCGAATTCCGATCACATGATCAGATGAACATATTTGGACAACCCTAGTATTTACTAAAGGTTTAAAACAATCATTTACATGTATTTGAAATGTAAAAAAGTAAAATAACATAATTTTTTTTTTTAAAACTGTATGCTACATCATATGCTACAAAAATATGCTACATCATATTGTAATAGAGTAAAACAAAATCAATCAATCAATCAATAAATCGAGAAAAAAGACCCACAATAAACTGCACTTTCAAATTCTTCAGGCAAAGACCACATGTCTGACACTTTTTGCCAAGTTTTACAGATTAGAGTGCAGTCAACAGTAAATACGAGATACTGTCATGGACTACAGTACAGATGAGCTTCTGTCGTTCAGCACATGCGGCCGGCTCTGGAAAAGCTTAATCACAAATAACATGACGACCGTTTTCTTCTCTGCACTCTTTGATCTCCATCAGTGTGTTTCTTAGCTTGAACACAAGACTGAGGACAGTGAAGGACAGCGCATCTTGTGTACTTTGTCAAGTCGACGCTAAGAAGAGTCCTTGAGTGAAGGAATAACCTTGTGTGAAGTGTTTACAGAGACAGATTAAACGCTGCAGGAAAGTGTCGTACTCAGCACAGCGCTCACTTAAAAGTCAAATTAACAAGTCAAATGCAGACGGCGCTTCAGTCACACCACAGAGAACAGAAACAGATTAGTTTTGTCAAAACGTAACAATATTTTAATGCATATGGATGCAGAAAAAAAATCTGCAGCATTTATAATAGTGTGACTGCACACCACAGTATAGTCTGCTCCATCATCGTTTTAATTTATAGTGGGCCATTTCACAGTTAATGCTGTAAATTGTGTAGTGGATTCAATACTTGTATCTCACAAATCTGCATTTATATTTTACAATTATGAGGTAGTACGTATCTTGCAATTAGGGCTAGGTGGGGCTAAATTAATAAAAATAAAGAAATTGCAAACATGATTCAGCGAAGCTGCGAATGTCAGATCGGTTCTGTGTTCAGAAGTTAATCTCCTCGAAACGTAAGAGGGTGCTTTTGTGTGGAAACACCAACAAAGAAGAAACCCAGAAAAAATTCTTGGGCTGCGTCCGAAATGGCATACTTCCATACTATATAGTACATAAAAAACAGTATGGGAGATGAGTAGTATGTCCAAATTCATACAATTCGAAAAACAGAATGCGAGAAGGACCCGGATGACTTACTAATTCTGGCAAGATTCTGAAGTGCACATTCGATGCAATCCCATGAGAGAATTCATTAATGGGAGTGAAGCGACGCAACTGATGCGGGTAGGTCAAAAGATAATGACAAAATGGCGGATGTAGTACGTCTGAATTCCATTCATACTACTCACATTCATACTGTATAGAACGTATTATTCTAATGGTTGAGTAGTAAATTCAAATTTAAATGCAGTACCTACTGAGTAGTAGGCGATTTCAGACTAAGCCACAGTGTTACATTATGAAGTGAAGTTTAACTGCATACGTTGATTCAGCGTGACTAATAATCAACTCGACATTATGAAGTTTAGAATTAAAACATGTTATTATATGTTGTTATATTCACATGCAGGATTTACTACACAAAGCGTAGTGCATTGAGAAGCTATTATCACAGAACAATTATTTAGATGTCATTTTCGTCCGGTTTTATTGATTTTGATTTGGAATAATTTAGCATAGCGGTCAGTGCGAAAACATATAATTGCAATTACTTCTATTCCTGCCAATATCAACTGTCCAATCATGATAAAAGTCAAAAATGCCAAAAATAAATATAAAAAATGATGTAATTTATTTTTCATTTTATTATAAATTCTAATAAATGATTTATTAGAGTGTTACAGGGATCAAAATGTCAAAAACAAGAAATATTTTGGTCCCACTTTATATTAGGTGGCCTCAGTGCCTAATTTGTGAATTGCGAGGTCCCGGAACAGATCGGGGTGAAGGATCCAGCATGTTCCCTGAAGATTGGAGAGATGTGTCGCGTAGGAAAGTGGGAAGCGTGGGAGAAGGTGTGGGGGGGGGGTTAGTTGTTGGTGCGGTGGATGGCAGAGGGGTGTCGCAGGCGAAAGTGAGAAGGGCATGGGTGTCATGGATGGCAGTGAAGAGGGTTGGAGAGTCGCAGAAGAACCCGAAAGTGAAAAGTGAACAGGGGACAAGGGCGGTTGGGGAGGGGGATGGGTAAAATGAGGTGCCGGATCCGGTGTGTTCCGGCACAAATTAAGCCCTGGGTGGTCTTTACTATGTACTGGCATCAAACAATAAATACAATGCATCTACTGTGTTTAAAGTGTGTTGATGTGGGGTACAGGCTGGGTTACGGACAAATTTGGTGGTATAAGTAGGTTTAAGGGAAGGTTAAGATGTAAGGGACCCCAAATGTAATTACAGAAACTATTTATTACAGATGTAATTACATACAGGTATTTATTCAATCATTAGCACAATATAAAAACATGTATATACACAAGAAGTACATTGTAACAAATGATAGATTTCGGCCACCTAATATAAAGTGCATTTCCACTCAATATATTTGTTTATAAAATATGCATTATATATATTTTCCTTTCAGCTGGATCTGTGAAAACATTGGCAGGTTAAACTTTTTACAGCAGGCCTGACTGGACCAGTCTGATCCTTGTTTTTGGCAAGTTCTAAAAATGTGTTACAATATTTCGACAAGGTTTTGAAAACTGTGCCAAACATCAATGTTTTTAAAGGTTTCGTTTCAAAGTAAAAATTTCAATATCGGGGCACGCACACATACACAGGCACACACACTTAAAAGCATCTGACTTAGAGCAAAGCGACAGCTCTGGCAAAGAGAATTATGGGAAATGTAGTTTTTGCCACACAAGCCTGTCATAAAAGTTACTGAGCTACAGTATATGAGCAAAATATTAAGCTCTTGTGTGGAAGCATCAGACGGACACTGCGGAAATCTCTCTGACAGGCTGAGTTGTAATAAGGTGCATTCAATTAACAGCGTGTGTCAGGGCTAATTAGAGGCATCATTAGTCAACTAATGCGAGAGAAGGAAGGACAGGTTTCCAGCGCCGCTCACCTGTTTACTGCCTGACAGTCTGTTAAAGGGTGGACTGAATAAAAGTTGATGGAGGATGAAGGCGTGGAGGAATTAGTTCAAGATTTGGAGTCGGTTTATACTTGAAATCTAATCACATGTAGATAACGGTGTATTTATTTTCTGTAGTTTCAAAACACACACACTTAAGTGTTTTTCAGCTGTGAGCTTTTAATATAAACACCTCAGTGTTGTAAATAAAACTACACTCAAAAAATGACGTTTGGTGTTAATTCAAACAACTTGTATAAAATGAAACAATACAATTCTTGAGGTTTTTGGGGGACAACTTAATTGTT